GAACACGTAGTGAGGCTGGAAAGCTATATGGATGGACAACAATCTCACTCCAAGACAGAGAACACAGGGAGTTTAAATAGGGGCAGATGTAAGAGAAGGAAACCATTAATATAGAATTGAGGGGATGGATGGATGGACCTTGATGTAGTAATTCAATTATGATGCCTACCTACATTTTAACAGGTTTTGTTTCAGACAACTTTATTCCCAAATCCTGGAAGCACTTTGTCTACATATCTATCATCAAACCTCCACAGTTTCAAATAAAAATATGACATATAACTCCACAGCATCATAAACACAACAATAAATGGATGTGAAGCCAGAGCAGAGTTCACACAGCCATCAAGGGCTGGCAGCTGTGCTAAACTGTCAGATATCGTCGGCCTTGTAACATCAGTGAGGAACAATAAAACAACTTGTAAAGTGCCGCCTCATGTCTCTTTTTGTTTGGAGATGACATATTTTTTTATTTTTTTAGTCTTCATAGGAAATGTCTTCTAACAGGAGGGATGAAAACACCCAACCATTCTTCATAAAGAGCTGAAAAAGTCCTAAATCCATGTGTACAAAACATCTATGTAATGACTCAAAATACGAAAAGACAAACAAATAGAAATTAGGTTTTTTTGTGAAGAGGCCAGCTCCACTTATATGAGGACTTTGGTATTTTTGCTTTGTAGCATGATACATTCCAGCCTCCTTTAGATTTGTCTTGTTAATAACCAAAATAAAACCTAAGATTGTGAAAGAAAGATTAGTGAGGAATTCCAGTTTCTACCTTTTTCCTTCTATCTGACATAAAAAGAAACTACTATGAAACACTACCGTTTCTTAAATCCTGCGTCTTCGTTTCACGTTTTACTCCTCAAACTGTTTCCGTGATACGTTTGTTGTTATGAAAACTTGGGAGGACACATCAGGGACTGATAAGATTAAATCAGACTTAATGGTGTGTGTCAAAATGTTTCCTCTCATGCATCCAATATAGACCAGTTTGAACCACAGCAAAGGCTAAAAGGTAGCCTCCGTGTTCAGGTGCTGATGACACCATTGGCTTTTGTTGCCTCCACAGCAGCATTGTGTTACATCTTTGTGGATTAGTGGGAATATGATGCAAAAGTCCATTTATTTCAGTGATCAACTAGACTGAGAGACCATCTAAAGGCTCAGGAGCCCTTTGCAAGTGTTTTAGATTAATTGGCTGATTAGAGTGTGAAACAACATTTTTATTATCATAGAATTCGAATTTGGTGTTTTTATGAGCTGTAAGCCATAATCATCGCAATTGTGACAAACAGAGGTTTGAAACATCTGGATTTGCATGTAATGAGCTATCTCGTATTTTAGTTTCCATTTGTTACCCGGGTGACATGAACTTTCAAAAGCACGAACAGTGACATTCGGGAAATTTCTGGTTGATGAATTTTATGGCTATCTGGTCATTTCTGCCCAGTTCCTATCTTTTTATTGGCCTAATATAATTGATCTGGTGAACATTTACATGTCAATAAACAGATAACCTCACCTGAGAAATGTCTCTGAGGTTAATCAGTTACAGATAAGAGTGCAACTGTAAGTCTTCTGTTTTCTATAAATGGGTCCCTTTGGGTTTTGTTTTTTCAGCGGACTTTCTTTAAATTTTTATATTCCCCCTGACCTTGTCCAGCCCGGCTGTGAAGCAAACAGAATTGATGTCTGAATGCTAGAATGCTGAATTTACTGTCAGGTGGAGCGTTAAAGCTTCTGCTTTAATGTCTCGCCTGATACTATAACATTATTGCAAGTGTATTTGGATGTTTTTTAATTTAACAGGACACAGAGCCAGAGGTGAAAAAGAAAGGAAGACAGAAAAGGAAGGGGGAGGGGGGGGGTAAAAAAAAACAGTCAATGATGGACAAGAGTCTGCTTCTAGACCTGCAGAAAGAGAAAAACATAAAAAAGAGAAACACAACAATACAACAAGAGCAAAATATTGCATCAACCTGATGAGAAAATAAAAAAATCAACATTGTTTTACTGAACAATCAAACGATAATAAATCAGTGCATTAAGTGCCAACCACAGCCTTAAGACATGTGTTGAACGTGCCCAAGCCCATACTTATGAGAGCACCATGTGAGCACCTGTGTGTGTACATGTGCTTGTATATGTAAGGTTCCTCTATAGGAGCGTCCAATAGAGAGTGTGAGGGACCACAGATCTGCCCCCCAATTATGTGTAGGAGATGGAAGGAGCTCCAAGCCCCAGATAATTTTTTATATTTTTCAACAACAAAGTAGTCCAAAATAGCTGGGGGAGGAAAAACGGAGTTAAATGAAAGCTGAGCTCAACACTAATCTTCTTTTCCGTTTAGAAATAAAATTGACTTGAATTTTTTCTGTTTATCAAGTCCAGTAAAGCCTGGATCCTGATAGAGGATTTATACATTGTTCTTTTACAAAAGCTTTTATTTTCCTTGTTATGCTTCTTATTTGAGCTACTTTACAAATTTCTATTTCCTTTGGAGTATCATATTGTTTGTCTTGACTTTTAAGCACTTTTTTCACTTTTTTTCTTTTAAAAAAGCAAAAATCGGGCATATAGAAGAACGTGTGTCATAAGACACATAATAATAATAATAATAACAATAATCATTGAGGTCTATATTAGTCATCACCTCCTTCCCTTCAACGATGAGCCCTCTGAAGACTGGATTGTGTTGATCAGCTCAGCCTGCTGCCCCCACCACCACCCATCAGCAGATGGAGTAAACGGGGGTTAGATGTGAATAGATCTCTGCTCTCTGTAATTTATTCACACTGATTTAAAACAAACCCTCCTTATCTCTCCTAGTTTATGTCTCCTCCTAAATCGGCCCTTTGGATTTACCCTAACCAGACTGTTGACAATTTTCACATTATAGGTTAAACATGAATGGTTCCACGCTTCCATACCTTCGCAAGTTGCTTAAACCCTACACCCCATTTCGTTGGCTCCGGTCCGCTGATCTGAACCTCTTAACAGGTCCTACAAGTCTCATGGAGAGCGAGCGTTGTCTCATGCTGCGCCCAAATTATGGAACGCTTTGAACTTCCCCATCAAGTTGGCTCAGTCACTGAGTTCAAATCTTGTTCAAAACCCCACTGTTTTAGCAGGAACTTTGACCCCTGAATTCACTAACCCTCCTTTCTCATCATCACCCACGTCCTTGGAACATTGTCTCGATATTCTTTACTCCCGTTGTTTCCAGTCTGACAATGGTGTTGTTTGTATTGTTTTAATGTTTGGGAGTCTTGTTTTTCCCTCTTTTATGGCTAACTAGTGTAGCGACATGAATGGCCTCATTTGTGACCCAAAGGTCACACTTCCTCAGCTGGGTCAAGCTGTCCTGACTGTACTTCTATTTACAGATTATCCATCACGGGAGACACAAAGTCCGCTGTTTGAGCCCTGTTTGTTCAGCCTTTGGTCAGCTGTGATGCTGTGTTTTAGACGTGCTTTATAAATAAAGGATCAGTTGAAATGATTACTTTTTGCCCCAAATCATTGAAAAATGTAAAATGTTCACATTGAAGCAGTATCATAATGAATCGTTCATAGCAGTTCATACAAGTACAGTTTTGGAACTTTTACACTATCTTACACTTTGCTTTGGACATTTTTCATACATAGAATGGTACAGCTGTTCACCACAGAAATACGTTTTTAAAACAAGACTATAAAAAAAGGATGAGATCCTTTCTGCTGGTTTCTTCCTGACCGTCATAATGGTTTTGCAGGAAAAACCAAAAATGTCAAATGTATGGCATTATAAATGTTACTAATTTAAATAGCTGGCATGGATGTAATTTTGGGGGGGGGGGGGGGGGGGGGGGGGGGGGCAGGGGGGACATGTCCCCCCCCCCCCCACTTTTTCCAAATTCTAGTTTTGACCCCTGCACTTTTTACCATCCAAAAAATATATTACGCTATGTTAAATTGACACTGGTTGACTACGCGGAAAACAACCGTTTGTGTTGAAGCCTGTCTCCCATAGAACAAACTGTAAAGATGCCCCCCCCCCCCCCCCCCCCCCCCCCACACACACACACACACACACACACACACTTCTAAAGTGAAAATTACGTCCATGATACCTGGTATAAAGAAGACTCCGATCGGCTCCATTGTGATTAGCTGTAACAAATCTTCCTGATCAGAGGTCATCTCCAAACGTTCCTTAGCTCTGTAGACAGGTCAGATACTAATAGATCACAACTTTCCATGAAACATATTTAAAAGAACCAGAATCTTTCCACAAAGCCCTTTTTTTATTCCTTTATTTCTTTCCGTTATTCTTTTCCTTTCTCTTCCACCGTGTTTCTGAATGATTTTGCTGTTTTTGTGTACCTCATTGTCCTCGTCAGTGTTTATATAAAATCTGTTTTCTATGTTCAGATTCCATTCCGTCTCTGCTTGGGAAGACATGGCTTTGCTTTGATATTATAACCCACCCACACAGCGTCTTTATGTTTGACTTTCAACGAGTAATTAAAGTCTTGTTGTTTCTCATCCACATTCCCTTTCCTTGAGTTTGGCTCCTCCACCTCTCTGACTCTGACTTGGTGTCCGAGAACCCTCTGATTCTTCGACCTTCACCGATCTGCTTCACATAGATGTTTTGTTCCTGAACAGCTCAGGCTGACATCAGTCAAAGAGGCCGAATGAAGTAAAAACAAAACGTTATCTTATCTTTCAGATCCGGACTCTGCGTGACATGTCAGTTTGAGCACAAAGAGGATGCATCATGGAGAGTAGAACTGCTAGGTAACCCTTGCAGCATGCAGAGTCACCTTCACTCCCGTGCATCCCCCGTGGTGCTATGATCCATATCTAACTGTGGGTGAGTCTTTAAAATCCATATCATTTTGTTTTAAAAACAACTTCCTTATATGTTTTAGTTTAGAATAAAATGCTTAATGTTTAATTATGTTTAAAAGGAGTTTTATAGCTTTGCAGGAGACATCTGTTTTGTCTGAGTTAGAATAAACCAAGAGTGTATCTGCTTCTATAGAAGAAGTGAACATTTAATATCGGATTGATTTCTTTTCTATTTTTGCTTCTTTTCTTTGGTCTGACTGAAATGTTTCAGATCAACAAACACATTTCTGCATCAGACAAGATAACCGGAGTAAATACATAATGCTGTTTGCAAATTATTATTTCATTTATTACCAAAATGTGTCTTCTCTAACTAAACTAGCCTCATATGGAAAAGTAACTGACCCCTAAACCTATTGGGTGGTGGTAATGCTGCAGAAAAACTACGTGAGAACTAGTAACGAGTCTCTCACACGACTAGGAACTTTGTCCCACTCTTGTTTTAATTCAGCCACATTTTGGAGTTTTTTCCTGTAAAACGGCCAGCTTAAGGTCAAAGGCCAGGTAATCTCCTTAATGATTCTGGAGTGTAAAACATTTAAGTATTAATTGTCTTTTAATTGAATATTTTTTAAATTTCTGTGAATTAATTTTCTGACTTGTTTGCCCAAAGAAAAACTAAAGTTTTAAAACTTGGTTCATGAAGTTCAACAATCAGCCGAAAATGAAAAAAGTGAAAATTAAGTTAATAAAAAAATATTTTTGTGACTATTCTTTCCAGATTTGAAGATTTTTTCTGTATTAATGGTTAATGGTGGTACTCGGATATTCTAACTTCAAAGTAGAAAAAAAATCTACTGAAAGTTGGATCTCCCAGTCGACAAGTCTGAGAATGTTTTTTACTTTGACTTCGAGGTCCACAATGATAGTGTCTCATAACAACAGTTGCTGTGGTGGAAACGTGTTTATTTTAAAACACACACTTGTGAGGGTGCATCTAAAATCAGTTTTACATGTAGTAGAACTTTTGTTTTGTGGTAAATCGTTAACAGCATAGAAATGTAAGAGTAGACACTATATCGGCTGCGCTTGTGGGGTCTACTTTTTTCATTTTATGGTCAACAGGTTGTTTTAGCCACAGCTTTAGCTCCATGGAGATCTGAACTCTCATTTTGCAACATTTTCCAAATAGCTTTTGATGGAACAGCATGATTAAACTTTAGCAATTTTATCTTGGCTTTTGGTTTTGATGCCACTCTACACTCATCAATGTTCCCCATCGGGCCAGTCCTTTCAAAACTTTCTGGAAGCATCCCAGGCTCTTAGAGGGTGTCTGTCAGACATTTCCACATCAATATTATTGTACATTATTCTTTAAACATTAGTTCACAACAATTTCCCCACAAGTGTGATTAGGGAATGGTTACTCATTTAAGTGTGTGTAAAACTGAAATGACCCTCAACACCTGAAAGCTGTGGGCGTGGCCAAGCTGGCGGAAATGAATGAATCATATCAAACTGAGGAGATGAAACCATTTTCTACATACCTAATAAAAAGGCCTGACCACAATGGACCTGACAACCATCTAGCAGTGTCGTTATGCTTGCTGGATCCACCTCCATCCTGCTTAGTGCTGCTGGTGGGATTTGAAGTAAGGGCACCACTGCAGCATACTGGTGCCACGTTACCGACTCTCACGCACTCGGTTTAAGGTAGTGATCTAACTCTGATTCTGGTTCTCTGCCCCCAACTGTTACAAACTGTAATGGACTTCATTTCTTTGTTGATAAAGTCTCGACTATTAGAGCTGACATTGTTCATTACCAGACCGCGTCTGTGGTCCCAGAGCTACCTCGGGCTATGTTGGGAGATTTTGAGACTGTGTCCAAGTCTGAGTTGAGAAAGGTGGTTCTCCCTGTGATGTTCTTCCTCCTAGGATATTCAAGGAATCATTCCTGGTGCTGGCACCCTTTCTTTTGACCATTATAAATGGTGGTCAGTTTCTCCACTCCTGGAATGTTTAAAAGATGTCACCTCCTGAGTGGCTTCAAACTTCTTACATCTGAACCGTGCAAAAACTGGTCATAGTTCTCAGCTCTTGTAGATTAGAGGGTTCAGCGTCTTCTATGAACGTTGGCCCTTTGGCACATTATGCAAGGAAAATTGTCACCAGTCTTGGTGTAAAAATTGACTCTGCACTGAAAATTGAAGCATAAATTGATACGGTTGTATGTTCCAGCTTGTTTTATCTGAGACGTTTGGCTAGTCGTTCATGCCTTTGTCCTGTCCAGGCTCGACTACAGTAATTCCTTGTATGCTAATCTTAGTCAGGGCGTGGTTGCAAACCTCCAGCATGTTCAGAACTTGGCCTCTAGGTTTTGGACAGCCACTAGATCTCCCAGAGAAAAAAACAACTGGTACCCATTCATAGAAAACAAAAGACTTTCAGTTACTTATCTGTACCTGATTTACATATAAGAAACATCCTGGTTGTCTGCACTGTTTATTGACATGTAAATGTTCACCAGATTGATAATGTCGGGTCAATAAAAAGATAGGAGCTGGGTAGAAATGACCAGTTAGCCATAAAATCCAACAACCAGGAAATTGATCAAGTCCCACTGTTCATGTTTAAAAGGTGTGTGTGACCCAGGTGTGTGTGCGTAAGAACTGCGAAAATGAGTTACTATGGTAACACGTGCTTCAGATGCTCAGAAACTTGGGCCGTTTTCTTTTGAATTTTGATGTTCTAACACAGTGGTTCCTAACCTGGGGGTCCCGACCCCCACAAGGGGGCGCCAAAGCCTCTCAGTGGGTCGCCAGGACCTCTCCACTTTAAGGGGTTAAAACTTCATTTATTACTTGTTGATAGCCTACATTTTGCTCACATTTTTTTCATGAGTGAAAAGTTTACTGATATTAAGACAGGAAATAATTAGTACAGAAAAAGTAACACACTTTTAAGAACATTTTGCTCAGCTCACTGTTTTATTTTCAAGTGTCAAAAGTTCACTAAAGATAGGACTGGTTGATTAATCACAGCCTTTACAGTAAATAATCTAGTATAAACAGTAATATACACATTTAAGTACATTTTGCTCAGTGTATTTTTTATGTGTCAAAAGTTTATTGAAAGGAATGATTGATTTATCAGTGTTTACAAGAAACAATGTGTTCAGAAAAGTACATTAGCACATTATGCTCTGTTTGGTTTTGTTAATGACTTTGTTCTGTACTGGAGCCTACTATTACTGTTATCTATTGAGTCAAAGCATATTAAAATGTGCTTGAACAATTTTATCATTTCTTAATAATGTTTGTACTGGAAGAGAGAATGGGAGGGGGTCGTCAAAAATTTACTGGTAAAAAACGGGGTCCCTTGGGAAAAAGGTTGGGAACCACTGTTCTAACAGACATTTGCAGCTAATAGTTATTGAAAAAAAAACTCTTGATCCCAGAGGAAAATAAATATGGTAACTAATAAAATTCAATAATAATAAGAAGAACAATATTCATTTCATATTATTCCATGTTCTTCGCATAGTTATTGTAGATTCTAATGGCTGTGGGCACCAATAATCTCCTGTATTACACTTGAAACTCAAAATTTTGGAAATGTTGTGTTAAATTTAATTTATTTCAGTAATTTCCCTTAAAGGTTAACCTAATATATGACATAGATTTATTCCATGCAAAGCCAAATATTTCAAACATTAATTTGTTATAATTGTGATGACTATGGCTTACAGCCCATGAAAACCCCAAATTCAAAATCTCAGACCATTAGAATATTGTGAAAAGGTTCAACTTTCAAACTCCAAGTGTCACACTCTAATCAGTTAAGGAATCCAGAAAACCTGCAAAGTGTTCCTGAGCCTTTAGATGGTCTCTCAGTCTAAGTTGGATTACTGATGTAAATGGACTTTTGCATCATATTCTAATTTTTTGAGTCTCACCAGTGCAGCAGGTCTGAAAAAGTCGACTGAAGACACTGTGTCAGACTCGAAGACTGGGTTCGGGAGTAAGAGCTTTCATTAGAGTCTGCTGGCTGCAAGCGGTGCTGAAAAGGCTGACGGAAGGATGAGGTCTGAGTTAGAAAGGTGGAGGTTTAACTGTCTTAGCTTCTGAATACTCTGATCATGGAAAACGGTGGAACGTGGAGGGAATCCCCGCGAGGGGCATGCTGGGTAATGGTCCGAGACAGAAGCCGGTCAGCTGGGAGAGCCCGACCTGGGGGCTTGGACTCTGACAGGACCCCCCGGTCCAGGGACGGCTCCAGAAGTCCCCGGGCCACCTCGGTGGGCCCAGAAGTCCGAGATGAGGGCAGGGTCCAAGATGGAGCGGGCCGGCTCCCAGGAGCGTTCCTCTGGGCCGTAGTCCGCCCAATCCACTAGGTACTGCCAACCCCGACCCCGGCGGCGAGCGTTCAGAATGCGCCGGACGGTGTAGATGGGCTCACCGTCAAGGAAGCGGCCCGGCGGAGGCGCCGGAGCCCGAGGCGGCAGGAGTGAGGATTCCACATAAGGTTTGAGCCGGGAGGTGTGGAAGGTGGGATGGACGCGAAGGCTTGTAGGCAGCCGCAGCCGGTACGTGTCCGGGTTGATTACCTTCTGCACGGGGTAGGGTCCGCGGAACCGGGGAGCGAGCTTCCTGGAACCGGCGCGGACCCGGAGGCCTACCATGGACACCCAGACCCTGTCCCCTGGAGCATAGGAGGGGCCCGGGCGGTGCCTGCAGAGGTGTTGGTGGGAGTAACGGGCGTTGGCCCGGGTGATGGAGGCCCGCGCCTTGATCCATGCATTTTTGCAGCGCCTCACCAGGGATTGAGCGGCCGACACCGCGACTTCGGGTTCCTGGTGGGCAAAGACCGGGGGCTGATAGCCATAGCAGACCTCGAAAGGGGACATCTGAGTGGCTGAGGAGGTGTGGAGATTATGAGACAGCTCCGCCCAGAGGAGGTACTTAGGCCACTGCGAGGGCTGCGCCGAAACAAAGCAGCGGAGGTACCGGCCCAACTGTTGGTTTGCCCGCTCCGTTTGACCATTGGTCTGTGGGTGGTAGCCCGAAGACAGGCTGACAGAGGCTCCCACTAGATGGCAGAAGGCTTTCCAGAAACGGGCCGTGAACTGGGGACCACGATCCGAGACCACGTCTACCGGGAACCCGTGGAGGCGCACCACGTTCTCCAGAAACAGTTCTGCAGTGCGTCGGGCCGAGGGGAGGCCCGGGAGGGCGATGAAGTGAACAGCCTTGGAAAACCGGTCAGTGACCGTCAGGATGGTGTCGAGGTCGTTGACCGGCGGGAGACCCGTGACAAAGTCCAGCCCCACATGGGACCAGGGGCGGCTGGGCACCGGAAGAGGTCTGAGGGTGCCAACCGGAGCCTGGGTGGATGCCTTAGAGCGGGCGCAGACGTCACAAGCGCTCGTGTATTCCTTAACATCCCTCTCCATACGTGGCCACCAGAGAGCCCGTTTAAGGAACCTGAGAGTCCGAGAGAAGCCTGCGTGACCAGACAGGCGTGATGAGTGGGCCCAGGACAACGCTTCACTGCGACAGGCCGAGGGGACGTAGAGCCGACCGGCGGGGGTCTCTGGTGGCGCTGGGTCACCCTGGAGGGCGTTTTGGATGGCCTCCTCCAACGGCCACCCAAGGTGGGCCACAAAACGGTGCTCCGGGAGGATGGGCGCCGGCTCGGACGTGGGCGCTGAATGGGTGAACTGGCGGGAGAGGGCGTCCGCCTTCTGGTTCTTTGTCCCGGGGCGATAAGCGAGATGGAACTCGTAGGGTTCGAAGAAGAGGGCCCAGCGTGCCTGGCGAGGATTTAACTGCTTGGCGGACCGTATGTGGGTTAGGTTCTGGTGGTCAGTCCAGATGGTGAACGGCTGAGTGGTGCCCAGAAGCCACTGCCTCCATTCCTCCAATGCCCATTTTATGGCTAGCAGTTCACGATCCCCCACGCCGTACTTCTGCTGGGTGGTGGAGAACTTCCTGGAGAAGTAGGCGCAGGGATATAGCCTGTCGTCGGGGCCGCCTTGGGACAGGATGGCGCCGGCGCCGACATCTGAGGTGTTGACCTCGACCACAAAAGGGACTGCCTGGTCCGGGTGGCGCAGGATAGGAGCCGATGTGAAACGAGCGACTAGGTAGTGGAAGGCCCGAACGGCGTCTGGGGTGAGCCGGAACGGTTGACCAGGAGGGCTCGGTCGGGTGAGAGAAGTGAGAGGTGCTACAATGGTGCTAAAGTCTTTGATAAATCGACGGTAGAAGTTGCAGAAACCCAGAAAACTCTGCAGTTGCTTTAGGCTGGTAGGTAGGGGCCAGTCCTTAACTGCCTGGACTTTCTGAGGGTCCATGGTTAGACCCTGATCCGAGATCAGGTAGCCCAGGAATGAAACGGACCTCTGGTGGAAGGAGCACTTCTCGGGCTTGCAGAACAGGTTGTTGTCCAGGAGCCGGGTCAGGACCGCGCGAACATGGTGGTGGTGTTCAGCCTCTGACTTGGAGTATATCAGGATGTCGTCCAGGTAGGCAAACACCCACCGTCCCAACATGTCACGGAGGACATCATTGATGAAGCGTTGGAAAACGGCGGGGCTATTGCACAGTCCGAAGGGCATGACCTGGTACTCCCAGTGACCGGTGGGGGTGATGAACGCCGTCTTCCACTCATCTCCAGCTTTGATACGGACCAGGTTGTAGGCGCTTCGGA